TAATTTTTAAGGTGTTTACAACAAGGCTACACATGGCAGATATTAAGTCCTAAATTGAATGAATATAATTGTATCTTGAATGCGCAAATAACCACAGATATTGCTGTATGTATCTAAAACATAATCAGGGGGCTTTGCCACAGGTCCCATGCCTATCACCATATTTCCCTTGTTGGGGCTCCAGACCCCATTCCAATCCTCAATTCCCTATAACTTTAACCAGTTTCAGTTTTGATCAAAACATGTAAAAGATTAAGAGCACTCAAGCTGCACACTGCCAACACTTAAAAACCTCCTGACCCCCCCCCCCTTTATTAGCTCTTCCTGCTGGTAAATTTAGAAAAGAAATCACCAGTGCTTCCCGGGATAAAACAAGATTGTTCGATTTCTATTGTTCATTTCCATCGGAAATCAATTTCCATCGGAAATGGCTAGAATACCTTTCCAATCCAGAATCACGCCAGATATCATGCGTGTGTATGGAATTCTCAATCTCTATTCTAATAACGGTACCGATTCACTGTATTGTCTAATATAGTGGCGCCCCCAACACTACCCAGGAAAACAAAGTATCCTCCATGTATTCATGGCAGGAGAGACCGTCAGACAGCGCATGGCATCGGGCGATCCTACATATCGGTTGTAGGGTATGAGAATTAAATATTGCAGGGGGCTTGCGCCCCTCAATCCCCGCACAGGAAAACAAAGTATCCTCCACGTATTCGTGGCAGGAAACTTTCGGACCTACTCGGCATCAGGCATGTTGGTTGTAGGTATGAGAATTAATACTGCAGGTGGCTATGCCCTCTGCGACCCCCAGTTGGGGGGCTGTCGCCCCCCACCCCCACCCAGGAAAACAAAGAATCCTCCAAGTATTCATGTTAGGAGAGAGCTTTGGACAGAATCAGCATCGGGTGGTCGTTCCCACACATGCAAAGTACTGTACATCTAGTCACTTGAGTGAAAATATACCTTACAACATACCTATGCAGAGGAGGGGCCGGTGAGGGTCGTCAATATGAATGGAGTGGCTTGCGGGAGCCGGAGTGCCGGAGAGGTCTGTATGAGCATGAGGGATGGCTGGTCGCAAAGCACTTCAGAGAGTAGCACTCTGTGTTCATGTAATAGTTTCAAGCTAGCCTCATCGTCTTTAAAATATTTTTTATATCTTGGTATGGTTTGATATGACACGCTACACACACGGAAGCCATGACAAGACTAATTTGAAAATTGAATTTCATAGCTTCTGATTTAGCTATTGTTCATTCATTGGCAGTTTCCTCATGCCTTGTTTCCCCATTGGCTATTAAATTAACTGCCAAACAATTGGCCAATGAAATCATGACACTTGTACCCACAGAATGGGTACGAGAGACCCCGTGCATGCGCAGTGGAGAATTTGGTCAGTATTCCCTCAGTGATCATGTGAATCTCACCTCCTTTTAATATTATTTTATTTATTTGGATGATTAAATAACTTGTTATTCATTTGCAAGACAAGTTTATTTGATGAAAAATGATCATTAAATTGAATATCTTCAAGGCTGTAAGGTCAGTGTTATTGATTCTTTAGTGACGCCTTTTTTCAATAATAACGTCATGTACAAGCACCACATGAATGTCAAAACTCCATTATAAGCACAAAAACTTAGAACAGAGGGTTTGGCAGGGGATATTCATCTCCATCTCAGCTGGGTTGTTGTTAAGTCAGACCTGTCAGGACTTGATCACTTGAGGCCATATTATTCCCAGTAGTTGTTTACTGTGGACTAAAACTATTATATCAGGAAAGTATACTTTAAATGGAATTCACCATTATCAAATTTCAAACCCATTCCATGGATAATCTTTATGGTAGGATCACAGTTGGAGAGCATTAGAATGATAATAGTAAGATGCAGAATACACAAGATATCTATTGTAACAATTGAAAGTATGTTTAGCCATAGCATGAAACAGATAATTAGCTGAGTACCTGAACCTTGTCTAGCAGTGCACAGCCAATCTGTGTGTTAACCCTACATTGAACATCTTTTTGCTTATGCCCATGTGGTGGTAGAAGTAGTCATCATCAGTCTCAAGTAAATGTCCTCTACTTTCCACTTTCCACTTTTTTGTGTGTGTGTGTGTGTGTGTGTGTGTGTGTGTGTGTGTGTGTGTGTATGCGTGTGTGTATGTGCGTGCACGCGCACTCTTGAATCTAGAATCGCATCTATTTGAGAATGTTCTGTGATCGCTCATTACTGTCGTAAAGACCAACCAGCCTCCACTAATACAAGTCCTGTCATATTATCTATGGTGTATGTTTCTTTTCCATTTGCTGGATATAGGAGCCTCAGCAAGCACTTGACTTACTGTTGTTGTATCTCTACTTTTGGCAGGTTGTTTCTCTACCTTATAATAATGTTTTTCTGTTCTTTTGTGACTTTCCCTTAACCCGTTGGATCTGTTTGCATCACAGAAATCACAGGGTTGAAAATACCGGCAGTGTTTTACAGAAGTGGCAAATATCATGGGTATGTGGCATGTAGGCTGGAGGTGCGTGGACACTCATGAGTGGTGACAAGACTCTGTACCACCCCTTTGCAAAGTTATATTGCATAAAATTTTAAAGCTTTTTTGCCATTTTCCAATGTCAATATTTGTCTTTTGATTTGCTTCATCCAGATAGTTATAGATTTTTTTTATTTATTTTTTTTTGCACAGACTCTATATCATTTCTATATGTAGTATGTATTTGGTTATTTGTGACATTTATCATATTTTCGTAATTTTCAATTTTCCGTAATACAACCTGCGCCGCTGGTCACAGCAGCCAAGAAATACGATGCTGAGCATGGAAATTACTCACTTGCAGGAGCCAGTGCTCTTCCAGTCATGGCTTACACACATTGGATTCCATATTCGTGTATCGATGGAAATAGTGCAAAAGCCCTCTTCTAAGTGCCAAATGAGTCTTGATTATACTCCAAGAAGTTTGTGCACTAATAATGAGTATTTCCATCACCTGGCCTTTGCTCATGATTGTAAGTTCGTTGGCTCCACTCATTTTGGATGATGTTCATATCACCCTTTGACCCAGATTTCTCCAGTACGGGATGGTCACATCACCCGGATAGTAGTTAAATTTCCTCTATCTCTTGGCTGACTTCATATCAGAATTTATCTCTAATATTTTTCCATTTCTCATATAGTTCATACATTATGATATTTTGTGTATGACACTGGAAAATACACATCATTTGTAGACCTCCAGTGGAATGCTATTTTCAAAATCCATAAATTTTCTTTAAGTTTTTGTATAAAGTGAAAAATATTGGTTTGTATTGGCTGTATGATAAACTAGAGGTCTATCATGGGAATCAGAATTTTGGGGAAGAGTGTAGAAAACGTGGACAGTAACACACACATCAGGCTTTTTTAAAAGGTTAGAGAAATTGGGGGGGGGGATAAACGAAGTCAAGGTTTCAGTTGTCATGTGTGGAAAGGTATGAATGAATATCTTCATAATACAAGAGATGTATTTAACCGGTTTCAAGTATATTTTCGTCAGAAATACATGTGTTTTGCCATAAGAATGTTTTGAGAATTATAATACATAAGCCTACAACTGAAATTTTGTAAGTCAAACAGCCATGTTGCTAATATTTGGCAATAATTGTAGGAAACATTTTGATATATCAGAGCTATCATTCAACATCACCAAAGAATGATGTGTTGAGAAAGTTTTTTTTTAATACCAATACAAGTATGTACTCTGTATAGATAAGTAAAGCAGAAATTCATCACAGTTGATTTTTACTAATTCTTGAATGGATGGATGCTTTCACAAACATCTCGCTAATATTAAAACCTTTTGGTTTGTGTATTCTAGACTTAGAAGTCCTAAGCACAGACACAATAGTTAGATATATATTTTATCTTTATTTTGAAATATGTGAAGGGAGTGTATAACAAAGACTTTTTTCCCCCCACAGGTTTAATTACAGAGCAACAGCTCATATGGTCAAGCATGGATACTACAACTTCCTCAATTGGTTTGATGAGAGAGCCTGGTATCCTCTTGGAAGAATTGTAGGAGGCACAGTATACCCAGGCTTGATGGTCACTCGGGAAGCATACACTACATTCTTAATATGCTTAACATACCTGTACATATTCGTGACATCTGTGTTTTTCTTAGCACCAATTTTCAGGTGAGATATTGATGCTCTTATTATTTATTTATAAAGTTATCATTTGTCATTGTTGTTTTGTATGAGAATTTGGTTTGATTGCTGGAAAAATGGCATTAGAAATTGATAAAAGAATTTTTGGTAACATTTATGATCAGCATATTGCAGTGTGTTATTGTTCAACCTCAGAAACATCAGAATTGTCATCATAAATAGAGTAGATTCTAGACAGAATGATTATTCTGTGATTTTTGGTTTAAGTTTATTTGGTAATTATTTGGGAGTACATACTGTTCTTTGCTTCTTTGCTGTTCCTTTGTTAACAGTTTTTTAACCCAATAGCTTGCTAGGTAATTATAATCATTTGTTTTAATTAATTTTTTTCTATTGTATTATCCAATATATGAAAATATTTTTCGGAAATCACTGAACTAGGGTACACAGGTAGAGCAAAATCATCATTCATAGAAAAAAAATTAATTAAAACAAATGATATAATTACCTAGCAGCTATGGGTTAAAAACTGTTAACAAAGGAACAGCAAAGAAGCAAAGAACAGTATGTACTCCCAAATAATTACCAAATAACTTAAACCAAAAATCACAGAATAATCATTCTGTCTAGAATCTACTCTATTTATGATGACAATTCTGATGTTTCTGAGGTTGAACAATACACACTGCAATATGCTGATCATAAATGTTACCAAAAATTCTTTTATCAATTTCTAATGCCATTTTTCCAGCAATCAACCAAATTCTCATACAAAACAACAATGACAAATGATAACTTTATAATAAAATAATAAGAGCATCAATATCTCACCTGAAAATTGGTGCTAAGAAAACACAGATGTCACGAATATGTACAGGTATGTTAAGCATATTAAGAATGTAGTGTATGCTTCCCGAGGTGACCATCAAGCCTGGGTATACTGTGCCTCCTACAATTCTTCCAAGAGGATACCAGGCTCTCTCATCAAACCAATTGAGGAAGTTGTAGTATCCATGCTTGACCATATGAGCTGTTGCTCTGTAATTAAACCTGTGGGGGGAAAAAAGTCTTTGTTATACACTCCCTTCACATATTTCAAAATAAAGATAAAATATATATCTAACTATTGTGTCTGTGCTTAGGACTTCTAAGTCTAGAATACACAAAACCAAAAGGTTTTTAATATTAGCCGAGATGTTTGTGAAAGCATCCATCCATTCAAGAATTAGTAAAAATCAACTGTGATGAATTTCTGCTTTACTTATCTATACAGAGTACATACTTGTATTGGTATTAAAAAAAAACTTTCTCAACACATCATTCTTTGGTGATGTTGAATGATAGCTCTGATATATCAAAATGTTTCCTACAATTATTGCCAAATATTAGCAACATGGCTGTTTGACTTACAAAATTTCAGTTGTAGGCTTATGTATTATAATTCTCAAAACATTCTTATGGCAAACACATGTATTTCTGACGAAAATATACTTGAAACCGGTTAAATACATCTCTTGTATTATGAAGATATTCATTCATACCTTTCCACACATGACAACTGAAACCTTGACTTCGTTTATCCCCCCCCCCCAATTTCTCTAACCTTTTAAAAAGCCTGATGTGTGTGTTACTGTCCACGTTTCTACACTCTTCCCCAAAATTCTGATTTCCCATGATAGACCTCTAGTTTATCATACAGCCAATACAAACCAATATTTTTCACTTTATACAAAAACATTAAAGAAAATTTATGGATTTTGAAAATAGCATTCCACTGGAGGTCTACAAATGATGTGTATTTTCCAGTGTCATACACAAAATATCATAATGTATGAACTATATGAGAAATGGAAAAATATTAGAGATAAATTCTGATATGAAGTCAGCCAAGAGATAGAGGAAATTTAACTACTATCCGGGTGATGTGACCATCCCGTACTGGAGAAATCTGGGTCAAGGGTCGAGTGATATGAACATGCTGTCATCGGACAAAATGAGTGGAGGCCAAGTGACGAACTTACAATCATGAGCAAAGGCCAGGGTGATGGAAAATACTCATTATTAGTGCACAAACTTCTTGGAGTATAATCAAGACTCATTTGGCACTTAGAAGAGGGCTTTTGCACTATTTCCATCGATACACGAATATGGAATCCAATGTGTGTAAGCCATGACTGGAAGAGCACTGGCTCCTGCAAGTGAGTAATTTCCATGCTCAGCATCGTATTCTTGGCTGCTGTGACCAGCGGCGCAGGTTGTATTACGGAAAATTGAAAATTACGAAAATATGATAAATGTCACAAATAACCAAATACATACTACATATAGAAATGATATAGAGTCTGTGCAAAAAAAAATAAATAAAAAAAATCTATAACTATCTGGATGAAGCAAATCAAAAGACAAATATTGACATTGGAAAATGGCAAAAAAGCTTTAAAATTTTATGCAATATAACTTTGCAAAGGGGTGGTACAGAGTCTTGTCACCACTCATGAGTGTCCACGCACCTCCAGCCTACATGCCACATACCCATGATATTTGCCACTTCTGTAAAACACTGCCGGTATTTTCAACCCTGTGATTTCTGTGATGCAAACAGATCCAACGGGTTAAGGGAAAGTCACAAAAGAACAGAAAAACATTATTATAAGGTAGAGAAACAACCTGCCAAAAGTAGAGATACAACAACAGTAAGTCAAGTGCTTGCTGAGGCTCCTATATCCAGCAAATGGAAAAGAAACATACACCATAGATAATATGACAGGACTTGTATTAGTGGAGGCTGGTTGGTCTTTACGACAGTAATGAGCGATCACAGAACATTCTCAAATAGATGCGATTCTAGATTCAAGAGTGCGCGTGCACGCACATACACACACGCATACACACACACACACGCGCATACACACACACACACACACACACACACAAAAAGTGGAAAGTGGAAAGTAGAGGACATTTACTTGAGACTGATGATGACTACTTCTACCACCACATGGGCATAAGCAAAAAGATGTTCAATGTAGGGTTAACACACAGATTGGCTGTGCACTGCTAGACAAGGTTCAGGTACTCAGCTAATTATCTGTTTCATGCTATGGCTAAACATACTTTCAATTGTTACAATAGATATCTTGTGTATTCTGCATCTTACTATTATCATTCTAATGCTCTCCAACTGTGATCCTACCATAAAGATTATCCATGGAATGGGTTTTGAAATTTGATAATGGTGAATTCCATTTAAAGTATACTTTCCTGATATAATAGTTTTAGTCCACAGTAAACAACTACTGGGAATAATATGGCCTCAAGTGATCAAGTCCTGACAGGTCTGACTTAACACAACCCAGCTGAGATGGAGATGAATATCCCCTGCCATACCCTCTGTTCTAAGTTTCTGTGCTTATAATGGGAGTTTTTGACATTCATGTGGTGCTTGTACATGACGTTATTATTGAAAAAAGGCGTCACTAAAGAATCAATAACACTGACCTTACAGCCTTGAAGATATTCAATTAATGATCATTTTCATCAAATAAACTTGTCTTGCAAATGAATAACAAGTTATTTAATCATCCAAATAAATAAAAATAATATTAAAAGGAGGTGAGATTCACATGATCACTGAGGGAATACTGACCAAATTCTCCACTGCGCATGCACGGGGTCTCTCGTACCCATTCTGTGGGTACAAGTGTCATGATTTCATTGGCCAATTGTTTGGCAGTTAATTTAATAGCCAATGGGGAAACAAGGCATGAGGAAACTGCCAATGAATGAACAATAGCTAAATCAGAAGCTATGAAATTCAATTTTCAAATTAGTCTTGTCATGGCTTCCGTGTGTGTAGCGTGTCATATCAAACCATACCAAGATATAAAAAATATTTTAAAGACGATGAGGCTAGCTTGAAACTATTACATGAACACAGAGTGCTACTCTCTGAAGTGCTTTGCGACCAGCCATCCCTCATGCTCATACAGACCTCTCCGGCACTCCGGCTCCCGCAAGCCACTCCATTCATATTGACGACCCTCACCCGGCCCCTCCTCTGCATAGGTATGTTGTAAGGTATATTTTCACTCAAGTGACTAGATGTACAGTACTTTGCATGTGTGGGAACGACCACCCGATGCTGATTCTGTCCAAAGCTCTCTCCTAACATGAATACTTGGAGGATTCTTTGTTTTCCTGGGTGGGGGTGGGGGGCGACAGCCCCCCAACTGGGGGGTCGCAGAGGGCATAGCCACCTGCAGTATTTAATTCTCATACCTACAACCAACATGCCTGATGCCGAGTAGGTCCGAAAGTTTCCTGCCATGAATACGTGGAGGATACTTTGTTTTCCTGTGCGGGGATTGAGGGGCGCAAGCCCCCTGCAATATTTAATTCTCATACCTACAACCGATATGTAGGATCGCCCGATGCCATGGCTGTCCGACGGTCTCTCCTGCCATGAATACATGGAGGATACTTTGTTTTCCTGGGTAGGTGTTGGGGGGCGCCACTATATTAGACAATACAGTGAATCGGTACCGTTATTAGAATAGAGATTGAGAATTCCATACACACGCATGATATCTGGCGTGATTCTGGATTGGAAAGGTATTCTAGCCATTTCCGATGGAAATTGATTTCCGATGGAAATGAACAATAGAAATCGAACAATCTTGTTTTATCCCGGGAAGCACTGGTGATTTCTTTTTCTAAATTTACCAGCAGGAAGAGCTAATAAAGGGGGGGGGGGTCAGGAGGGTTTTATAGTGTTGGCAGTGTGCAGCTTGAGTGCTCTTAATCTTTTACATGTGTTTTGATCAAAACTGAAACTGGTTAAAGTTATAGGGAATTGAGGATTGGAATGGGGTCTGGAGCCCCAACAAGGGAAATATGGTGATAGGCATGGGACCTGTGGCAAAGCCCCCTGATTATGTTTTAGATACATACAGCAATATCTGTGGTTATTTGCGCATTCAAGATACAATTATATTCATTCAATTTAGGGACTTAATATCTGCCATGTGTAGCCTTGTTGTAAACACCTTAAAAATTAATTATACCAACAAACACTGACATTAACCTGTGACTAATAATAAATATCAATTTGTCAAAACTGGACTCTTCTTCATGAAAGCTAATTTCAACTGCTGAACAGCTGTCTGTGTTACATTGCCTCTTTCAACCCTCAAAGGGTACCCCAAAAATGTAAACCGAGTGACCCACACACACATTCGAAACTCCCCTACAAGGTAATCCCTCTACCCAAAGCCCACGCAAGCAGACACGGCGCCAGACCACTCATACTCACCATGGGTCGAACTCATGGATGATACTCTCGAACCTTATCACCGCGAAGAGCCTGGACAGGAACCCCGCCAGCCACGCCAGCAGCAGCACCGTGAACACCAGCAAGCTCTTCACACCCAGAGGACTTGACACCCCCGTGGAAGTCTTCACCTGTATCCGAACCATTCTGTTGACTTAACCCCTCAGAGGAATGGGTTGGAATAAATAAATAAGACTTGTGATTCCTATGGAGAGAAAAAACGGGGCAACCTCCTCTTCTTCCGAAAGCCCCTACATGAAAAGTCCTCGGAAGTTCTGACGACCACGAAGATCTACTTCACGCCGTCTCCCGAGGGGGATTCAAGTCCAAACTCAGAGATGAAAGGCGGTGGTCCCCTCAGGTGTCATCGGGGTGTCGTACTCTCTGCTCTCTCGGGATGTAAACAAACTGACGCTCCGCCGGTGGCAACTGGCGAGGAGCGATTGGTCGGCTGGAACACAAGAGGGGAGCCATGCGCAAGGAGGGGGACAAGCCTTTTCCAGTGTTTATTTCCAAATTGCAAAGGTCCAGGTCGTCGTTTCTTTATGCTTTTGGTATTTTGTTTATTCAGGTTTAATTACCATTGTTTTTCTTAGGTTTTCATCCAAAAATACATTGGTATGAATATTAAGTGCATGGCATACATGGTGTCCGTATCTACAACTATTTTCAAAACCGACCTATCTTATTCTAAAGATACATCTAATTTTACAGAAAATACGGTCTAAAAAATTACACATAATTATAAAGATAATCCATGTAGATACTTTGGCTAATATATGGAATATCCTTCTGAAAGTCCAGTGTATTAGGTATGTACAAAAGGTACTGATATTGCGATGATATATATTTTTAATCAGTATTACTTAAAATCTATCTAATAAGAAAAGCAAAAGAATTTTAGATGCATGGATAAGATAGATACAAGCCTTACAGTTTACACCTGAAAGCACAGGTGACGTGCACGCAAACATGACAAGACATCTTCCCACAGTGAGACGATGAATAAGTACAACATCAATAGTGTAAATGCAAACGTGTATATATATATATATATATATATATATATATATATATATATATATATATATATATATTTATATCATATGAATGTGTGTGTGTGTGTGTGTGTGTGTGTGTGTGTGTGTGTGTGTGTGTGTGTGTGTGGTGTGTGTGTGTGTTGTGTGTGTGTGTGTGTGTGTGTGTGTGTGTGTGTGTGTTAGGATAGTTCAGATTCTAAACAATTTAAACTTCCCTTTATTTATCTACGTTATTGATTGGGGGATGAAATTTGTTATCTCGGAGCGAAAGTTAAATTTAGCTGTCATCAGTACTTCGACTCTAATACCGGCACGTGCCCTTAATCAGTAAACCATTAACCGATATTTATTCCATATTGATCATGGGCGTGTGTTACGTAGGTTGTTTATATGTGTATATATAAGCACATATGTATATAGATAAATGTATACAAATGTATATATATAGATAGATAGATAGATATAGATATATATGTGATATTCATCGGCATTTGTTATCTTTCATACTGTTACCGTTATTTCTTTCATAAATATATTTTCGATTACGTAATAGTGGTGATGATATCTATAATATTGATAGTGGCAGTGCAGACAGGTCCCATATCCGCAAAATAGGAAAACATTTCCAGTCAACGGTCTGCAGAGAGGATATTTAGACATTACAGAATCATATTATATTTGGGGATTTTTGAAATTTTCAATTCTTTTCAAAATGGCAGCTCAAATGTAAAATGGCGGATTTTTGAAAAACAACAACAAAAAAACGTATGCATAGAGTGGGCATATGAGTTCATAAAATGACGGTTTCTGGGCTCTTTAAACTGAAAAAAATAATTAACCAGTTTTTCCACGCCATTACTTCAAAATAGCAGATTTTCAAAATTGATTATATTAGTAATGGCTGAATCGATCTCATTTTACCCAGTGCTTTCTTTTGTAATCTTTGTGAATATGTCATGGACATATATATATGTACACACACACACACACACACACACACACACACACACACACACACACACACACACACACACACATATATATATATATTATATATATATATATATATATATAATATATATATACATATATGTTATATATATATATATATATATATATATATATATATATATATATATATATGTATGTATATATACACACACACACACACACACACACACACATATATATACATATATATATATATATATATATATATATATATATATATATATATATATGTATATATATGTATGTATACATACACACACACACACACACACACACACACACACACACACACACATATATATATATATATATATATATATATATATATATATATATATATACATACACACATACACACACACACACATGTATATATATATATATATATATATATATATATATATATATATATATATATATATATATATATGTGTGTGTGTGTGTGTGTGTGTGTGTGTGTGTGTGTGTGTGTGTGTGTGTGTGTGTGTGTGTGTGTGTGTGTGGTGTGTAAGTGTGGGTGTGTAAGTGTGTGTGTGTGTGTGTGTGTGTGTGTGTGTGTGTGTGTATGTGTGTGTGTGTGTGTGTGTGTGTGTGTGTGTGTGTGTGTGTATGTGTGTGTGTGTGTGTGTGTGTGGGAGCCTCAGTTTATTTCCATGAAGGATTTATTACCAACGTAATCCACTCTAATAAAACTTTGTCTGCTTATTTTCACTTTGTATTTTCATAATTGCATAACTTGCATAACTGATATACGGATTTATTAACAAGCGACAGTCGAGAGGAATTAGATTTGTCACGTTTCTAGCAGTAATTCTTGCCTTTGTCTCTATGTGGGTGATGATCATTCAGCATATAGAGCTGATTTTACATTTTATTATAATCAAAATCAAGGTAGATAAGCTCAATTTTGTTTGCCTTGGCTTCTTTCTCTTTGTTTGCTATGTGGAATTCAGTATTAAGCAGTGCAGCAGTTCTCAGACTTTGCAGTCTGGTGACAGTAGAATTCTAATATTCTATACGACATACCAAGGCTGTATTATTTGTATACAGTTACATATGCCCCTGAATATGGCAAAAGATTCTGTATGTTACAAGAAAAAAATCTAATTAATGGGAAGCTTTAGCTTTGGTTAACTTATATTAGTTTTCTGCATGTTCACTATGTTTCAGCCTAAAAGAAAAAAAAAAAAAAAAACTCTCTAAAGGTTAAAAGTCACACATTGCAAATAACTGAAACACCTGGAGGGTAATAACGACACTTGTGTCGCACAACAAAGTTTGAAAACCACAGATCAGGTATAATACAACTACATTCTAATATTGCCTGTAACTGTTTTGAATATAGCTTATCAATGAGTGCTATGCAGAGTTTAAAATGTGAACCGTAAAGGATGTGCTAATTCGAATGTTTAAGGTCATGCGCACTTTTAAAATAGAAAAGGTGGAATATGTCATTTAAAGTAAGAAAATTTATCTCTGTATTCTAAATTGCATCAGAATACACACGACAGCAATATTCCCGCGATCACATCTTGAATCGAACTGCATAGAAACGTATACAAAGGTATGGGAAGAGAGGCAGATCCAATCAAATATCAGGAAAACCGTATTCCCCTTGCATATCATCACCAATTCCGATTATCATCACTTGCAGTGCCTATATCGTCATATCCTCGACAACGAAAAGTGTACTAGTGTATCACTGTGTATTAGTATTACATTGTTAAACTTTAGCCTCCTTAAATTAGCCAATCAAAATGCCATATTCATTATATTAGGTGGGTGGCGTAACAGCTTCACAGCATATTCAAAATGTCAGTCTCACGAAGGGCATTTTAAGCTATATGTAACAATACAATTATAATACAGTATTTTTAAATGCAGGATGTTTGTGAAACGATTTAAGTATGTATTCCCCAAAAGGCTAAAGTTACTGTACGTATACAATTTTGATAATAAAAACCAGTCAGATTCGAATAAAGTCTTTCTTTGTCAGTCCTCGTGAAACACTGACAAAGCTTACAGTTTAGACGAATGAATAAATATTAAGGGAAAGAGAAAGGTAAAAGGTGGGAGGAGAGGAAGGAGGAAAAAAGTCGGGAGGGTGGGAGATTTGGAGCGGGAGACAGAGAGAGAGAGGAGAGGAGAGGAGAGGAGAGAGAGAGAGAGATGAGAGATGGAGAAAGGGAGAAAAGGGTGATGGTGAGAAGGGAAAGGGAGAAAGAAGAGGATGGGGGGAAGAGAGAGGGGGAGTATGGAGGGAGAGAGGCAGGAAGGAAGCGAGAGGATGGAGGATGGAAGAAAAAGGAAGCAAAGGACACAATGATTAATGGTTAACAAATAAATGTGCTAATCAAAGGTCATATAGAACAATGGTAAATTATTTTGGCGAAAACGGTAAAAATGAGTTAACGATTTAGGATGAAATGTGTTAGATCTCAAAGGTTGTAGAGCGCTGTAGGATAGTATGGTAGTGAAAAGGTTAATAGGGGGAAGTAAATGGAGTACTCCAGGGATTTGTAAAAGGGGAATGGGGAAAGAGAAGGGAATCGCGGTGCACATGGAAAAGGGGAGGATGGGGTGTTCTGAGGGGAGAGTGGGAGGAAGAAGGGTTGGGGGAATTTGAGGAGGAGGAATGTGGATGTCAGCAAATACTTTGAATGTAGGGAATAGGTATAGAGGGATTGGGTGGTGGACGAGGGAGTGGAGCTTTCTCTTGGGTCATGTTTAGGAAGTCTTGGATGTCATCAAGAGTTTCTGGAAGGGAGTTGAGTAGGGAGGCCTGAGAAACAAAGGTTCTCTTGTTAAGGGGAGACGAGAGGATAGACGTCCGAGGAGCTGAGGGAGAGGTGGGTGTACATGATGTGATAGATGGGATGGACCGTTTACATTGTTCGGTGCGACAGGTAAGTGAGGAGGAGGGGTAGGCATCGAGGAAGTGGGAGATTAGAGTATCTGGATTTAGACTGTAAAGGAACTTGTCTTGGCGAGAGTTTGAGTAGATGTAGGATGGTTTGGGGTAAAGGGAAAATATACTGGGGGAGATGCTGAGACATCTTGAGAAGATGGGAGGGGAGTGCAGCGAAGTGTAGTTTTGGAATGGGTAGAAAGAGAAACCTGATCGGTATGTTTCCTGTCTGAATTTGAGTACTGCTTCCTCACATTCGATCTTGTAGACAGGGTAGGCTCCAATAAAATACTTTATGGGGGCCACCACAATTGGCACACGTACGTGGCTGAGCAGAAAAAACGAGCTTAGCCAGGTTGGTCACATACAGGGCAACAGGCTGTGGAGCAACAGTGTGTGTCTGGGTGGCCAAAACGCCAAACACCTCCGACACTGATGGGGAAGGGATCGATATGGTAGGACAAGGCAGAACATTCCACCAATATAACCTTCATGGCAATATTGGCACAGGATTTACGCTGGCCTCTGGGAGGAATAGTAGAGCACTGCACTGCCACCGCATCATAGTTGACGATGCAAGCGAGCAGGTTGTTTTCACAGGCTGACTCGGTCAAGACGGAAACAGTTCCGATGCAAGAATTAAGGGAAGAGTTAGATTGAGCAAGAATAGGTTTGCTAGTGAGGTCAGTCTGGGTAGACAGTGCACGAGCTTGGGACTCAGATGTAACTGAGACCGCGAACGATCGGAACGACTACGAAATGAATCTTTGCCTACTTGTTTTTAGAGGCCTTGTTGGAAGAGATGGGTATTGTCAGAGTATGGGGCCGAGACATTGTTGGAAGAGAAGGGTATTGTCAAAGTAAAGGGCTGTAGGGGGAATCATAAATAATCGATCCCACTAGGCTGGGCCAAAAAGAGTACTCGAAATGTTTACAAAGGAGAAATCAGTAGAAGGATGGTGTGGAGCGAAGTATTATTATGGGGAGGAGGACAATAAGGATGAAGAGTAGTAATAAGGAAGGAGGGGATAGACAATGAAGAAGACTTTGCAGTATAAGATGAAGGTGAGGATGTTGAGAGAGAGGAAGGGGTGTATTCTGAAGGTAGAGTAATGACCTGGGTGGATGATTCCAAACGGATCGAGTTGACAGCAAACATCCAGGAGGGGTGTATTAATATCAGTTGTTGGAGCTGTAGTCAAAGTTGAGGAAGGGAAAACCAGAGAAATCAAATTTTGATAGGATAATTGATGAAGGAACAAGCCTTTAATGCCCATAAGAATAAAAAATCTTCAATGCTGGCCATCGTGAGAGGTTGTGTAAAGAAACGGTCTACCATTTGGGGTCTCCATAAGGATTAAATGCTTGGATATTAACCAAGGGAATACCATGCTCATGATTCCTGGAGCCCATTCATGAATCACACAAAGCTAGCCTTTTATCCTGTCAGCATGGTTCTCACACCTTACGAAGTGGATAGAGGAAAGGGATGAAGAAGAGAAGGAAAAGACCATGCAAAATTAGTTGAGGAGAGGGCTGAGGTCCAAGGGAGGGGTCATCCCCTATATTGGGCTTCAGTCTCCTTCTCCTAAGTCCCATGACAACAACAGGCAAGGGATGGTGGGGGGGGAAGGACACAAATAACAACGTTTTACCATTTATTCACAACATTTACCTCTACATATATATACCAATCTGTACATCAATGGTAATTACATGATTTTACCCAACATAAGTTGTTCCTCAAACTATTTCAACAAACCATGTACATATATAAGGACAACTCATCCATGACATGCTGATCTAGAGAGCACATTCTCTTTAAAGTGATCTCAGCACAATTTTTCTACAAATAGTTTTTGAATATGTTACAGTTCTGCAAGACATGATTAGGAGTGACATTCCAACACCATACCATTTTGAGTATTTGAGATATGATCCAGGTATAAATTTATTCTACAGCTACTTGAACCAAAAGCAGCATTTAAATGTCAGTACACTTCGGAAATTCAAACAGAGAATCTGGAATGAAGGAATTGTACAGGAATGTATTAAAATCTATGGACAACTGTGGTCATAAATCATTAATGGTAAATAAAACTATGCAATGTACAAATAAAATATTCTACATCAGTAATGACCACAGTACCATCTAATTAGCACATTTTTTTCGACACATTTCATCATATTCACAACCACATGCATTAACATCTTTGTGCATTTTCCTCATAGCAAAACATTAAATATTGCTTGATAATGGTAGCTGTTAAGATATACATATAAATCCCAATCCAAATGCAACAATAAAAAAATTAGTAACTTCCCATGTCTCTTTTGCAAATTATCTTTAACTATCATCTTATATTATGGTAAACCAAACATGTACCACAAACAAGGATCTAAATTTTAACAGCAATTTGGCTTCCTTAAGTATCTAGTTTCTATGATCCCCTATCATGTCTGTATTTATCTTGAAAGACACGTAGGGATAATACTCGCTGGTGTTAAATCCCAATCCTGGAATGTCGACAGTCTGCAAATAAAGTTTTTCAATTAATATCCAGGGTAAGTAAAAATGCAAAGCTTTATAGTCATAACCTTCAGTATCCATACAAAACAGGATTCACTAATTGACATCAATCATTAATGAGAGACTTACATCCCCAGCTCCTCCTGTTGCAGAAGAATCAAGGTGAGAATACAGCTGGTTTAGAATATCACGTAGCCGCTTCATACTCTTCCTGTTTGGATGCACAAGAATAGCCTGGAAATTGACAGGCAAGCCATATCTGAAATACAAATAAAAAGGCAAAAATCTGAATTAATATCATGAAGATTCCCTCTACATTTCGCATTTTTCCCTTTAGAATTTCACTAATCATGAGTCTGACACAGTACTAAGCTTATGATCATCATGGACACAAACCAAATGAAGTCTGAAGTATTTATAAATAAATCCTTTTTTCTACAATGAAAAAAAAAAGTTTAGTTTTCTTTTCTATAAGGGTTTCTGAGTGATTTTTTTACTTTTTAATTGTGAATCTAGCAGACTTGATCAAGCATAACCTCTCAAAACTAAATATTATTTATTTGTCCATGTGAAGAAGTAAAATTGAATTTTCATAATGAATAGGATGTATACCAAGCCCCATTCTTCATACTCACTCTGAACTAATCATATAAGTGCTACCTGGTTTTGGTCCCGACTCTTTTTTTGTGTGAACCAACATACTAAGTATAAAATGAGACTTTTTTAATGTATGGCAAATACAACCCACCCATAAGCTACCCCATACCATTTCTACTCCATTCAACAATTCAACATTTCCCATTTGCACATCATGGTTTACTATGTTTTTTTGTTCTTTCTCTTCCTCCTTCACTCCTCCTCCACCTATGACACTTCATTATGAGTCATAGCAGCATGACAAATTTTCTGGTAAATAATGCTGTGTTACAAACATTGAAAAAAAAAAAAAAAAAAAGTTTTCTGCAGCTGAGCAAGCAAAGTATGGCTGAGGAATTGCAATCTTTACACACACTACTAAATGTCTGCAAGACAATTACCTTAGAACAGATTCAACAAACACACGGATGGCCTTCACATGCATCCAGCAGATGAAGCATTCGCTGAAATTCACTTTCAACCAGCGCACTAATGGCCCCTGTAAATATAAACAGTGTGCTGTGTCAAAATATATACATCCAC